CCAGTTGGTTATTAAGAGATTATGTGGCTCATGAGTTATATGATGTTGGGTGAATTCAAAGACAAAGTAGGCCTAAAGGTTGCAAGTAGCAGGAGAAACATAATAGAAGGGAAGAAGGGAGTTTCTGCCATAAGGTTGGGTGTGGGTAAAATGCAAATCATGAAGAGAGAAACAACTGAGTTTATTGTGTCTCTATTGTTAGTTCAATGTCTTTAAATGATATGGAATTAGGCAGAGTATCCTTTGAGTCAATGACCGCTTAACTATGGATTGGTATCGATATGACCACTATAATTTTAATTTTGGAAACATGACCATTTAACTATTTAAGTGGTTTCAACGTAGCCACTTTTCGTTAAAAACAAACGTTGTAGCCGATGTGAACATTTGACTCGCCGTTAATCAATAACAACCACATCAACTGTGTCGTTTGTTTTTAACGATAAGTGCCTATAATGAAACCCCTTAAATATTTACGTGGCCATATCATTAAAATTAAAAATATGGTGGTCATATCGACAACAATCCATAGATAAGTGGTCATGTAGTTTGCCCTAATTTAAATAAGAAATGCTAGTCATTTTTTTTTATTGTTTTGGATGTTTAAATTCTAGGTCTTTGGCATTTGGTTATCTATCCCTATTTAATATCATGCATGCTTATGTATGAATTAGTTGAGATGTTCATATCAGCAGTGTGGATGTGAAATCTTTTTATTCAATTTGAGATCAAATTTTATACAACCGACCGGATGCTTAACCCATTTTACCAGAACCAATTAAATTAAGATCGAAATTCTACTGTTTTTGTGCTTTAGTATCATTTAAAACAAATCTTTATATGTTTTTTCTAATATAATCATGTAAATATGGACATGAGATAAATTGTTAAAATATTAGCTACCGATATGATATGTTGAAAACAAAAATGGAAGCAATATGGGGTCTCCTCTAACGCAAACCGAGGTATGGGGTCTACTAGTCAAAAACATTCTAAACGAATCTGTACTGTAAGGGGATTCTGGAGTTGACAAGTCATTGAATACCGAGAACGAGTCTCTACGGCTCGCGTAGGCATAGTCCACGGTATGAAAGAGTCTCTAGCACTCTTCGTCGTGAACGAAACCTCCTCAGAGCTCGTGAAAAGTGTCCAATCATTTGATGTAGCATCGGATAACTTCGTGTGGATAGGTTCTGCAATGTTACCATTCACACTCTCCCTAAGAATGTCATTACCGTTGCGGTTGATACAACTAGTAGCAATATCAGGCCTGAAATCTAGGACATATTTGGGGCCAACAAAGTATTTGCAGGGTTTAATTTTGTGCTCAGCTGCTCGTGAAGGCCGTTTTTGAAATTTGTTGTCTAGCAGGAACTTGCTTCTGTATGCTCTTTACGGTTAATGCTCTTTGCGGACGAGGACATGACCTTTGACAAAAGTATATAATTTCAGAGATAGGAGAAAGCATCCATACGGAACCCAGAAGTAACATTCAATATGAGAAAGATACATCCACGAAACTATTACAGCAAGAGAATCAACTCGACTTTCGACAAACTAATCCTAATATGTTCTCTCCTAGGAGAAAGATAAAAGATTGATGGATGGTAAGTTCGTCAAAATCTAGTTGATTATATGTATAAGATATGATTTTAAAATAATGATATTTTTTAGCAAAACAAATAAAATTTTATTCATAATATGGACAAAGTCTACAAACCTGAACAAGCTATCCTATGAGGATATGGAGACAACCAATTGAACATAACTGACTCATGCCCAGCACATAGAACAGCAACATCTACGCCCCTTAGTATCCGTCTCCACCTCTACTCCAGAAGCAGTGTTTTACCTCTGCATGATCTGAGCAATTTTCCATTATGGGGCCAGAAAACATAGTTCAAACCTCTCCCTTATGGTCCTCAACATATCTCCACACCAAGGAACACCTTTAAAAGTCCTGTCAACATTGAATTTGACCCATTCTATCATTGGTGGTGACCATTCTCCCTTCGACTTCGCTGTACTTTTAGCTGTCGGCCAATATTGCTTCGAATTTAGCCATCAATGATTTTCCCACTCTCCATCTTCTTCAAAAGCTGCTTTAATCCAAAAACATTGAGCATAACTTTAACTGAGACATACCTTCTTGGGATAGCGCTTTTCCCACAAAGATTGTTTCATTTTTTGATAATTACATTGTGCAAAATGTTGCTGCTATTGTAATGAACCATAGACTTCTCTGCGAGCCAGTACACGGATTATTTATTCAAACTTCCAGCAGAACGGTAACTGTAAATAAAGTACAAGGCCCTACCATACCATTTGTAGTTTCATCCCTGCTAACATGACCAACAGCGAAAGACTAATATGATTAAACCATTAATCTCCTTATCGTTCTTCCTTTGAATTGGAATAATTTTGCATCAAACATTTGAATTGGTACGAACAAAATATTCATATTATCATAAATTAAAAATAGATACAGTAAATTTTCATCTAAAATTTCTTATAACCCCGCTGAATGAGTGGATACGTCCAAGAACAATGTAAAGAAAGTCCGAGACGCAATGGAAATAGAAAAAGAGACAGCAGAAGAGGGTCAGTACATGAATGAAACCACAATTTTTTTGGAAATTATTGAAGACAAATTATATATAAAAACATCGATAGAAAAGGGCCTGCCTACCACCATGCAATGAAATTTTCTGCTCTGTCGACTGCCATTTTGCCAATCTTTGTTGAAGTCTGGCGTAGATATCAATATGATTCACGAGAGTGATTCCAGCTCCAGCAAAAAGAAGAAGAAGAAAAAGAACAAGAAAGATAAGAAATAGATAACCCATCTTTTATGCATTGATGGAATGGACTCTAAGGTTACCTTTTGCTTGAACTGATAAGAAATGATGAATACTGTGATCTCAATTCTAGTAAAAGAAAAGAGTGTTCATTCCATCAATGCATAGATGGGTTATCTATTTCTTACCTCTATTTTTCTTTTACTTCTTGTTGGAGTTGGAATCATTCCCATGAATCATATTAAACAGCTTGAATGCAATACGGAAATCTGATCTTGTAGTTGACAGGTTATTGAAGATCAAGAACGGGTCCCCGTTGCTCGCGTCGGCATAGTTCACGGTACTGAAAGAGTCTCTGGCACTCTCCTTCGTGAACGAAGCCTATCCAGAGCTCTTGAAAAGTGACCAATCGCTTGATGTAGTATCGGAGAACCCCATGTTGATAGCTTCTGCAATGTTGCCAATCACGCTCTGCCTAAGAACAACATTACCGTTGGGGTCGATACAACCGATAGCAACATCAGGCCTGAAATCTGGGACATACTTGGGGCCAACAAAGTGGATGCAGGGTTTACTTTGTGATGCTCGTGAAGGCCTTTCCGTTTTTGAAATGTGCTGCAGAACCGAATTGGCATATCAACTGCAAAATAAAAACAATAATTAGTCAATAAAACATTTGATCTAATGAATTACATTTATTTTGCAATTTAACAATCACGCATACGCATAGCATACTTTAGGTTTATCTTCAGAATTTCATTCTTCCCTTAATTTATAGGAGCATACACTACTACGCCATGTTTCTCGAACTTGGATGTGGGTACCAGACAGACAGTAATAGTCCAACACGAGTTTCTTCAAGATTTTCCAAAGTTTTTACGTGTATTTGAGGGTCCTAAAAAGCTCATATTCCATACAAAATACTCTTCAAAATTCAAGAGAAAAATGAAATTGGTTAAAGTGATGCGATACATATCGATTGTATATGTGTAGAGAGTACTAATCTGAACTTTATTTTCTTCCGTCTCTCACCACAAAGTGCAAAAAAATAACTGAGTGGTTTAAGACGAGTCATAGTTTGACTGATGGGAAGGTCTTGCATACCACAGCTGATGCTCATCTTTATAACCGTATTGCATGCAAGCTGTTTAATATGATTCATGTGAGAGATTCAAGCTCCAACAAGAAGAAGAAAAAAAACAAGTAAGAAATAGATAACACGTCTTTTATGCATTGATAGAATGGACGGTACCGATTTTATCTCTTGCTTCAACTGATAAGAAATATCTAGAAATGAACAAGAAAGTTTTACTAATAAGAAAATAAGACAAAAATTCAGATAATATCACAGCAAACCAGAACATCATAACAAATGCGGGCATAATTTTCTCTAAAGATGACAAAGAAAACAACACCATTCATCATTTCTTTGCGTTTTCTAACCAACCAAACATTTTATTAGAACTTGCAACGCAGAAAATAACACCATTAATCATTTCTAATCTGTTGAAGCAAAAGATAACACTAATGTTCATTCCATCAATGCATAAAATATTGGTTATAGATTTCTTACCTTTTTTGTTCTTTTTCTTGTTATCCATGTTGGAGCTGGGATTACTCCCATGAATTATAAGCTTGAATGCAATATAGTAATGAAGGTAAGCATCAGTAGTGGTATATAACACCTTCTCATCGATCAACTCATGACTCGTCTTAAATCACTTAGTTCTTCTCAAATCTCACCTCAACCCTATCTTTCCTCAGTGCAGCCTTAAATCAAGCTCGTCCCTCTTCATCCCCTTAACAAGGGTTAGTTACATTTTTTATATAATTGGATCATGAGGCGGCAAAATTTTGAAATGCTTAAAGCTTAATGATTAGGATTAGGATTAGGTTTAGTAAAAAAAATGTTCAACATTGGTTAATTACTTTGAAGATTCCTTTTATTTTTTGCTTGTTTTATTTTGGGTTCTAGGTTTGACAAAGTAACATTTTAGTCACTTACATTCGGTAAAAACTCATTTAGAGATGAAGGAAAAGCTAAATGTAGACCCAATTCCAAACTTCAACTACAACTTTACGATAAAATAAAAATAAGATTACACTATTAGAATCCTAAACAAAGCTGATATGAAATCTCAAATCCATTATTTGTCATGTCAACCCATCAAAAACAAAATTTAGTCACAAAAGTGTATCTAAATTCATCGATAAATATTAAATACATCTCAAATTTTAAATCTTTAGTTTTAATCTTTAAATTAGTACAGACGTCTAGATAAAAGATTTTTTTCTTTTTCTCCAAGAAATCAAGATTCTAAAAAAGTAAATTGACTGGAAAGGTTGTGAATGCAAGAAGAGAATCCGCCGGGCATGGAAGTGCCCCAGGCGGCAGAAGATTCGATAGAGAAAGGGGTGGTAACAAAAGATTAAGACCTACTGGAGGAGAAGAACCTACAGAAGAAAGAGTCTGGACTAAATCATGGAGCGACACCGTGGCTGATTCACCTTTCTTTACTGGCATGTTCAATAATTCAAGCAGGGTTGAGGAAGAAGACTACGAATCTGAGGATGAAGAGGAATTAGAGAATGATGGAATACCTTCAGTAAAGATTCCGACAGATTTAAAGCAAAAGATTAGAAAACCTTGGAAAATAGCCCTGATTATCAAACTCATGGGGATGAACATAGCCTACAAAACGCTTCTAAACAGGATTACGTCAATGTGGAATCTGTAGAGCGGCTCTTGGACACGGGTTCTATGTGGTGAAATTTCGAAGCATGAAAGAGCTAAAGTCTTGACTGATGGTCCTTGGAAGATAATGGACCATTATCTGACTGTTCAAAAATGGAAACCAAATTTTATAGCCGAAGAGGCGTTGATTCCCTCAACAACAGTTTGGATTCATATCCCAGGGCCTCGCATGGAGTATTTTGATGAACGGGTTCTGGTTAATATAGGAAAACTTGTTGGCAGTCCACTGAAAGTAGACTGTCGAACAGCCTGGGTGACAAGAGGTAAGTTTGCAAGGATCTGCGTTGAAATCGACTAGAATAAACCTCTTCTTTCCAAAGTTAGAGTTGGTAAGATTGTCTTGAACATAAAATATGAAGGAATTCATCAGATATGCTTCCGACGCGGAATTGTCGGTCATATAGAGGAATCTTGTCCTTTGCAACATCTGGAAAATCAACAGAAAAAGGAAGATAAGAATCTGCAAAAAAAAAAATAGGGATAACCAAGAAAATCAAGAACAAAATTAACAGGAGGAACTGGGGCCAGAAAAATCAAATTGTAAAGAAGGTGATTTCGGTCCACAGATGTTAGTCCAAAGAAGACAGAAAAATAATCGATTTAAGTTGAAACCTCCAGACAATGCCAAGGAAGGTCAAAAAGGAAATCGATTTGAGATATTAAGAGAAGAAGTTCAGGATGAGGGAGAACAGGCTACAAATAGTGAAGAACATCAGACAGAAATGAATGAGCAACAACAGATAATACTTTGAATAGAGATAGTCTCAAATCAAAATCTGGAAATTCAACAAGGAATAACCTGGCTGAGAAAAACTCTGTAAAAATGGTTAAAAGAAAACAGAACTACCCGAATAGAAATGCTGGTAAAAAAGAAATGAAGATGCGTGGAAAAATCCGATGAGGAGAACTATAGAAAGAAATGCTAGCAGTATGGAGGTAGAACAGTATGTAAATGATAAGGATAGTCATCAGAGAGAGTCCACACAGAACAACATGATGGAAGGATGCTCAAAAGACCTGGATGGAGTCGAAATGGAAGACAGGACTGATAAACGAGTTTTACAAGAAAAGATTACCCCTGATCGTCAGGGGAACCAAATTTTTAAGACTAAGCAATTATGATGTTATCCTGGAACTGTAGAGGTGTCAGCAATAATGAGTTCATGAGAAATTGTAGAGATATTATAACAATCGAAAAACCCTGATATTGTTAGTATGCTGAAACAAAAGCTCCTATAGGGACGGGTGATAAGATTAAGAAGAAGCTCCAATTCGATGAGAGCTATGAAGTTCCTGCTCAAGGAAGACATGGTGGGATAATTCTTCTTTGAAACTCAAAAGAGGTTAGAATTAGGATTTGCTACAGTACCGATCAAGCGATTCATTGTGAGTTAGATACAGGTGGAAAATCTTGGCTTAATTCCTTTGTTTATGTTCAGCCTCATGGATCAAAAAAGGAAGAGTTTTGGCTGGATATGGGTAACTACGCTGATTCTATGAACAGACCTTAGTGTGTGGTAGGGATTTCAATGATATTGCTTCGATTGTAGATAGATTGGGGAGTAACTGTGATTGCTTAGACCGAATTATAAGGTTCAGGGAACAGTGGAATAGGTGTAATCTTCTAAATGCTGGTCGGACAGGTAATAGATTTACATGGGTGAGAAGAAACCAGGATCAAATTACCCTGCAAGAAAGACTTGACAGAGCCCTTGTGAATGCAGAAATGATTGATCAATTTCCAAATTTTCAAGTTTCGATTCTTCCAAGATATTACTCGGATCATAACCCGATTCTTCTGAATATGGATTTGGTTTGCTTTGTGGAGAAAGATAGAATGCTACTTCGTTTTAAAGCTTTTTGGCTTACTCATCCTGAATTCAATGATGTGTTTACCAATGCTTGGAACAGAAGAAAGATTCGATTCTGGAGGCTATAAAATATACGAGTAGAGTGATCATAACATGGAAGAATGAAGCTATTGGAAATATTTTCAAATGGAAACGTACTCTGAGAAATCATCTGCAAGGTACCCAAAATTCGCCGAATTATAATAGATCTAAATTTTTTCAAGAGCTCGAGGAAAGTCTGAACGAAGAGTATCAAAACATCCTTAACCACGAGGAAATCCTGTGGCTTCAGAAATCTCGGCTAGATTGGGCTCTTAACGGAGAAAGAAATACTAAATTCTTCCATTTAACCACGAAGATCAAAAGAAAACCCAAAAACATCTGTGGTTTGAACATAGATAATAATTGGTGTATGGATAAAGAGAGGCTAAGGCAACATGTGATTGATTTTTACAAAAATTTGTTCGAAAGAAAGGAGGTGAGAATTCTACAGGAATCTTACAGAAAGTTTAAGCCTTTAATTACAGAAGAGGAAAGAGCTGAGCTGGTCAAAGAAATTGATTTAGAAGAAGTGAAAAAGCTGTTTTTTCTATGAAGAGTTTAAAGGCGTGCCTGGTCCAGACGGTATTCAACCGATTTTTTACAAGAACAAATAGGAGGCTGTCAATAGTACGTTATGGGATTTTGTGAGAGCAGCTATAAAAGGATTGTGGATAAAGAGATTTTAAAAGCGTATCTTGTGTTAATCCCTAAGACAGAAGCAACAAATAGCCTAACTCTATTTAGGGCTATAAGTCTTTTCAATAAGATTTATAAGGTGTTGGCGAATGTGTTGGTTAATAGAATTAGACCTATCCTCCAAAGAATTGTGGGACCTTACAGTTTTCTGCCTGGAAGAAGAACTTCGGATAATATTCTAATTGTTCAAGTGGCGATGTCCACTCTCATGAATCTCAAAGGAATTAAAGGGGCAGATATCATTAAAATAGACCTGCAGAAATCCTATGACAAAGTCCATTGGAACTTCCTACAAAAGACCTTATTCAAGTTCAACTTCCCTGAGGAGATTATAAATATTATTATGTTATGTATCCAGCATAGTAGCATCAACCCTTTATAGAATGGAGAGAATACAGAATTTTTCGAACCCGGTAAAGGCCTAAGACAGGGAGATCCCTTATCTCCTTATTTGTTTATCCTGATTATGGAATGATTTTCACATTTAATACTTGAAAAAGTGGATAGAGGCAGCTGGAAAGCTATTAAGTTAGCAAGAGGAGGTACTAATATAAGTCATCTTCTTTTTGCAAATGATCTCATGCTTTTTTTAGAAGCTAGAGGGGACCAGATTTCAGAAGTTCAAAATTGCTTAGCAGAATTCTGTCAAGCTTCAGGTCTTGAAGTGAATCTACAAAAATCAAAAAAATTTATTTCTCCAAATGTGAATGAGGGACTGGCGACACGAATTGTTCAACTTAGCAGCATTTCATGGACTGAAGATCTAGGCATCTATTTGGGAGTTCCTATTTTACACAAAAGAGAAAATGCTGAAACTTTTACTCCCCTAGTTAAGAAAATCTTGAAAAAATTGGCTAGTTGGAAAGGAAAAGTTCTCTCAATGGCGGGTCGACGAACGCTTATTCAAGCAGTGACATCAGCTATTCCGATTCATACTATGCAAACGAATATTCTGCCAGCTGCAATATGTAACAGATTGGATAGCATCAACCAAAATTTTGTCAGGAGGAGGTCCAGAGTATACGAAAAACCACCTTGTTAGCTGGGAAGTTGTTTGTCGTCCTAAAATAGCAGGAGGATTGGTATTCACAAAACAAGGGTTATGAATTTGGCTCTTATGGCAAAAAATGGTTGGAAGATGTTTCAAAGAAAGGACCTACTGTGGTGCAAAATATTTAGAGAAAAATACTTGAAGCAGGAGATGTATATGAGTATCAAAAAGCGAGAGAATAGTTCTTCAACATGGAGGGGGATACTAAAAGTAAGAGAGGTTATTAAGAACGGTAGCAAGCACCAAATCCGCTCAGATGAACAAACAGACTTTTGGCAGGACTGGTGGACAGGAAAACATGCACTAGTGAAAGAGTATCCAGAGAGGGAAAACAGCCAGAATGAAAAGGTAGCTAGATTTATCCTGGAGAATAAGCAATGGGACATAAATAATCTTCAGAATATGGTCTCAAGAGATACAATTGATCAAATTCGGAGTACTCTAATCTCCTGGCTGAATCACGAGAGAGAAGAGGATAAGATAGTTTGGGGACACTCGAAGGATGGCCAATTCTCAGTGAAATCAGCCTTCAAAGATCCTTATCTCATGAATAGCAATGGTCAACAGAATATGAATATGGGATGGGTGTAGAAGCTGAAAACGACTGAATGAATAAGATTTTTCGTCTGGCTCTGTGTGTTAAATAAATTGAATACCAATGAGATGAGAATAAAGAAACAGATGACTCAAAACTCAGACGGCAAATTATGCCCAGGAGAGACTGAAACAATCGAACATATTTTGAGAAAATGAACAACAGCAAAAGCAATTTGGAAGGAATTCGAAAATCCTACGAGGAATAATCAATTTGAAGACAGAGAATTCAAAGAGTGGCTAAAGGTAAATTGTTGTTCAGAGAAACTGGTTATGGAAGGAATTCAATGGGGGTCGCTATTCCCTTCGATTATGTAGGGATTGTGGAAAAACCGTAATGAACAAATTTTCAATAATAGGGGAAAATGTTTCTCAAATCAAAAACTATTGCATCAATCTAGCTGGAAACATAAGCATTTCTATGAAAGAATCTCTTACCAGAATCACCAAAGAGACGAGATGGATTAATTGGAAAAAATCACCAAGAGGCAGTTGGACTTTGAATTCTGATGGAGCCTGAAAACAAAACTCAGGTTACGCGGCGGCGGGTGGCCTTATCAGAGATGAGGAGGGTAATTGGATTCAAGGATTTATGATTAACATTGGTAAAACAACAAGTACCTTAGCAGAAGTTTGGGGGTTGAGACAAGGGCTGCTGCTGGCGAAGGAGATGGGAGCAAGAAACCTCGTAGTTGAAACGGACGCCAAATGGTTGGCCGAAACCCTAAACAAAGAGAAATCAGAGCAAGTGCAAAGGGAAGCGATTTTGCCGGACTGTGAAGAATTAAGAAGAGGGATGGATTACCGAAATAAGGCACATATAGAGGGAAGGTAATCGTTGTTCTGATCGATTAGCAAATCTAGCATTTACAAAGGATGAAGGGCAACACCTGCTCGAGAATCCTCCAGAGGAGTTGAAGAGTTTGCTTCAGGCAGACAAGTTAGGGATCGAAATGTTAAGATGGTAGGAAGGACGCTGTCGTTTTAAACTTTTGTATAAAAAAAATTAGTACAAATGTTCTATAGCGATGGTGACTCACTTTTCTAAGATGAAACATTAGAAAAGTAAACTTGGAGATCATAATCCTAATAAATAACCTTGCACAATAATTTAATTTTTTAATCAGTCCATCATCAGTTAGAATTTAATTATTTTAGCCAGCAACTTTTGAAGCTATAAATAGAATGGTAGATTTCCATATGTGGAAAAGACATACTATTGTTCAACTACAACCCTCTGCTGTAACATATTAAAAGAATTCAGCTTAACAATTTATTACCACCAAAATTAATTTACTTTTCCAACATACTAATTTATATACAATTATTGGAACTACCAAACTCAAAAGATAAACTTATGGAAAGAGGCACAAATGCTTAGCGGTAACATTCTCAACGCCATTCCCATCTAGCTTCCTCGTCAACAGATTCATCAACAACAAAGGCAGAACATCTTAGAGAGTAGTATCCAATATAGCAACAGAGATATGGCGAAGTATTGCAATGTTGTGCTTGTTCTTGCTCTAGCAGTGGTGGTGGTTCAAGCCACTTCAAGGAATGTGCCTAAAGATGCTGCTGGTCTCGATGACCAAAAGAACTTCCTCACATATGGTGGTGTTGGCGGCTACTCCGGCATTGGAGCAGATGGCATGCCGATTGGTGGTGTTGGGAGTGCTGGAGGTACGACTGGCCTTGACGGTACAGGTGGGACTGGCGGCATATCAGGCGTTGGGTTTGGAAATGGTGATGACTCCGGCGCCGGTGGCGGAGTTGTAGGTGGTACTGGTGGAAGTGCGCCCGGTGTCATCCATTTTCCTTGAACTTTGCTGGGGTTTTAAATTTTGAAGTTTCTAGTTTAAGTAATATTATTGTTGCTCTAGAGCTTGTGGCGTGTTTAAGATGGTAGTAATGTTTGTTGGGTGTTAAGATGTTGTCGTGTGTTATATCCTTTATTTTCTTATTTAGCATCATGTCTTTTGTTTTGTAGTCCGTTGTGTCCTTTATTTTCTTGTGTAATGTTACCTGTCCTGCTTTGTCGTCCGTTGTTCTATTTTTGTTGTCACTTTGCTTACATACATTGATTTTGACAAATTAAACACACACACACGCATATATATATATATATATATATTAAATCATACATAATCTAATTAACGACACTCATGCATGGGAGGAAATTCGAGTGATGTTGTCGTTTTTATCTAGACTAGATAGTCTAGAATCTTTAAGATTAACTAGCAAAAGTTTCGACAAAATTTCCTATTATTGTTAAAATAGTTAATTATGTTCTGTCTATTTACATTGCAGCAAATGTTTGTGAATGAATGCATCCCTGTAACGTTATATCACTACCACTCAACGCCAATATTAGAATAATTGACCTCGTTGTGCAAATGTGCATGGTAATACGTCAAGTTTAACAGCCATGGATGCATGCACATGATATCCGGCATTGGTCATGATAAGGAAACCGAAAGAGGGAAGTAAAATAAATAGTGGCTTGAAAATTTTAGCTTAGAATTTTAGGTTGAATAGTCTATTGATTCTTATGTGTTCTGTTGATTCGAATAAGATTACCTTATTCCTCATTAAACAAACATTACTACTATAAAGCAGTGGCGGATGCACTAAGCCCCCATAGGGGCCAAGTGCATCATCATTATTTTGGAAATATGGTTAAATTTAGTTTAATGTGTTAAGGAAAAAAAAAATTACAATTTTGCATACCCATTATTTTAAAGAAAAGAAAATTAAATTTTAGACCCCTCTCTTAAATTTCTGGATCCGCCACTACTATAAAGTTCCCGTTCTATAAAGAATTTGACAATTTAATACGAAATAAGAAGTGTTAATCGAATATTTAGCAAAGATTTCATAAACTTTTAAATCAAAAAATGAAGCTTCATTTATCAGAAATATTCTACAAACAAGGACGCGTACTTCAAAATATCTTATACACCAAAATAGACTGTCAAGACCAACACTGCAATATATATATAGATACATTTAGCCCAACCAAAAGAATCTAGAATTATACTCTGAGAAGCGAGGATTAGGATTCCATTGTATGGAGCTCCAAGGACGGACAGCTACTCCTGTATACCTGAGATGGTAACTGTTGGGATATTCGAAGCTCAATTTGAACAACCGAAAAATGTATAAGGGGGTGAATTGGTAAAAATTGTTTAGGGAGTAAGGAGAAAGAAAAGATAGACAATTTTGCATAGCGATTTATAGTGGTTCGACTTCTCAAATAAGTATACTTCCACTACCTTAGCTCATCACTAAGGATTTTCTAACAAATTCACTAATTTGTTCTTTCTTTTTCAAGGACAAAGAGATAACTTTTACAAGACTCCCAAGCTTTTCAAAGGCTCAGCTAGAACCAAAATCCCTTTACAAGGAAAAAAACGTAAACAAATGTAACCTCTAAAAGGTAGGATGTTTACAATAATTTAGCTCACAAGAACAAAATATTTTCAAGAAAACAGGAATAAAGAGTGAAAAACTCTTCTCTTGTGTTTGATTGCTTGAATAGTGTTCTAACCCTTCTTCAAGTGTCATCTACTTGTATTTATATGTTGGAATGAGTTTGTGGTTGTTTCTAGCCATTGGGAGTGATTTGGAGCCGTTGGGGATGTTTTTCTTTGCAAAATAAAACTACCTAGTACATAGGGTATCGATACCCCTATAGGGAGTGTCATAACTATTTTTTAACAAAACAATTAAATATTATTTAAAAAACAATTATAACTTTAATTTTGAAATTTTGGTGGTTTTGAATTAATTTGGATGAAATTGGATAAGGAGTTGCCATCGACATTTGGGTTAGGTAGGTCGAATACCTAAAAATGTCTTTTAAAAATAATTTTAAGAAAAATAGTTTTTTAGACAAAATTTGGTATGCGTCACCAAAGATTTGATTAAATGGATTCGGGAGTCGGTTATGTGTGGGGAAGGATAAGCACCCCTATAACGCCCAAAAATTGGTACTGAACCGCTTACACGTTGTCGTACATGATGGAAATTATAAATCGAATATAAAGTTAAAATATGATTCATTTATTAAATTGCTTTGAATTATTTATCAGAGAAAATTATTTAACTCGAAAAGAAATCTCGATATTAGCAATCCTCCGTCGGGAAAGCTAATTCGTCTATTTCTTATCTTTAAAGAATATTCTTTCCTCATTTATTAAAAAACACGAATCGAATATAAATGTAGAATCGACATTTGCGTATAATAAAATACATTGCCATTTATAGAAACATAACTTGCATTGTTCAATGTAAAATAAAAATGAATTAACAAACAAAACTAAAATTGATTTATTTCAAGTTCCATTTAGTTCGAATGTCGTATTAGATTGTGCCACTTCGATCAAGTGACACTTTTCATGCCCGTTCTACAAGTACGTGTTCTTGAAATATTCGGATAATATTTAAATACAGAAATACAATGGAAATAAATACAAATAGAAATATGCGAAATAAAATATTAACAACAATTAGAGTTAAGCATATTTATTTATATATGATACAAATGAATACATAACTTAAAAATATGTACATACGGATTGAAATAAATACAAATGAATATTACAACCCAAAATATAATGGTTAAAAAGTAAGTATTTATACTTACAAGGACCAGAATGGGAAAAACAGAAACTTAAAGGACCAAAATAGTAAAACAAGAATTTAAAGGTCCACAATAGAAAAAATAGAAACTTAAGGGACTAAAATAGAAAAAAACATAAAGTTAAAAGACTAAAATGGAAAAAATAGAAACTTAAAGGGTGAAAACAACAAAAATAAAAATATAAAGGACTAAAATAGAAAAAACATAAACTCAAAGGGCTAAAACAACAAAAACAAAAATTTAAAAGACTAAATTGATATTAACAGAAACTGAAATGACCTAATAAACAAATATAAACAAATCAGAGCCCCAATAATCAATTTAAAATAAATACAGAGACCAGAAAAAATAACCCATAAACAACATTTACAAACTAAAATAAAATAAACAAGAAACATAGAGGTCTAAACAATAATTAAACCTAATTATAACAATGACTAAAATAAAATATATACAAATGTCATGGCCAAATTAGAACGTCAATGAAAATACATAACACATTAAATAAATGACTAAAATTAAATAATTACAAATATCATTCCCCAAAGTCAAACATTAACAAAACTAACAAACTAAGTAAAACATTACTAAAATACAAGTATTGAAAATAAATGCTCAAAACGAAATAAAACAAAACTTCATTTAGTGGCTGATATATGAAATTACAAAACATGAGGGACCTAAAGTGTAGTTAACCCACTCACTAAAAACACGCAGAAGGTCCCTAGAACGACGTCGTTCTGTTTATATATAACAATCAAAGGCTTAAACAAGCCATAATCCTCATTTGTTTCACTTATCAACCGAGAGAAGAGAGAGAGAGAGTCTGAGAATTCTCTCAACTCTCTCCTCGGTGAGGGGAGGAGATGTCGTTCGCTGGTGACACCTCACGACAGCGCACGACAGTCCACAGTGGCCGTAGTAACCCTAAATAACCCTCTCATCACCCTCAACCTATATCTAGCCTCCCCGTAGCTAAAACTCAACCCAGCTCCGCAAATCTAACACTTTACCTTTCGAAGACTTTGGAAATTGGCGACCGTTAGTGTTCCCGACTGGCTTCGAACCCCCGGTGAGTTTCTACTCTATTCTCCTTGTTATATTTTTCGTTCTTTTTTTTCTTTTGTTCGAATGGACTGTTTTTTCTTTAGCTTCTCCATTTTTTTTCTTTTTGGTTTGCTATTTGTTTTCTCTCTGATTTTTTTTCTAGGTTTTTCTTTTCGATTTTTTTTCCTTCACTCTCACCAATGTCCCTTAATATTCTCTTCCTTCTGTTATTATTTTGATGCATGTGATGGCTTGGTGATTGATGTTGCAGATCTCCCTGATTTGCTTTTGATTTTATTTCAATTGTTATGGGGATTTTAGACTGATATGATCTGATTCAGTCACTGTAAGAGGGATGGATGCAGGCGAGACAGTCGACAGCAACATCAGAGAGTGATGGTGATGGAAACAACATCTACTTAGGGTTTTAAAAACCCTAGGGTGAATCGGGTTGTCCAACTGGGCCAGTTCGGGTCCCTTCGGGTCGAGTTGTAACATCCCAAAAAAATCAGGTTAGTGACGAAAATGAAAGTTTTAAAATTTGGTGATCAATTTAGAAAAAATTGAAAAGCTTAGGGATTTAATTGTAAATTCTTTAGGTAGGACTGATTGTAAAAGAAGGAAAGATGAAAGGGCAAAATGGTCATTTGGTAAGAAAATAATTAAAAACTTATAGTGGTATTCTATATATACACGTGTATTTGGGAAGAAAGAAAAATCAGAGAACTCTGGAAGTTAGCTTCACATTCTTTTTCCACCGTGAATGCTTGGTTAAAGGTAAGTTAGTCTCAAGTTGGTTATTTCTTTCATTTTAAAGTTGGTTTTTATTCTTGTGGTTATAAGAAAGCTTAAAGGAATCTTAAGGTGGTTTAAAACTCAAAGATGAATAAGTTATGTAAGATTGAAGGTAATGAGTTTTTAAAGGAATTATTGAGAAAGAGTTATTAAATAAGTTTTAAAGTGAAATTTGACTTGTCATGAGCTGAAATAAGAAATCTAAAGTGTTAGAAGTGAAATTGGAACATGTTGGAAATTTTGTAAGATTCTTGATTTCAAGAATTATGATTAGATATTGAAGATGATGATGTGTTATATGGATAAAGATGATTTGAATAAGTATAGTTAAGTCTAAAGGGTTAAAAGGAGGTTATAATAGAAGATTTAAGTGAGTTTGGTAAAATTTTCAGGTTAAATAAATAAGTTCTGGCATGGGGTATCGGTATTGTTCATCTAGTACCGATACTTCAAAGCTAAATTAGTAGAATTCGAGCTTGGGGTATCGATACTGAAGGAACAA